CTGGCTAAATTTTTGTATTCTTAGTAGAGACAGGGTTTCACATGTTGGCCAGGCTGGTCTCTAACTCCTGACCTTGTGATCCACCCGCCTCGGCCTCCTAAAGTGCTGGGATTACAGGTGTGATGCCACCGTGCCCGGCCTAATTCTTCTTAAGATTATTTTAGGATTAATTCCTTAGAAGTCCTATTACTACTAATTCCAAGTAATAGAATAGGAAATTTTATTTCTATCTATTTATTTATTTATGTATTTCTGAGATGGAGTCTTGCTCTGTCACACAGGCTGGAGTGCAGTGGCGCAATTTCAGCTCACTACAACCTACGTCTCCCAGGTTCAAGCAATTCTCCTGCCTCAGCCTCCCAAGTAGCTGGGATTACAGGTGCATGCTGCCACGCCCGGGTAATTTTTGTATTTTTAGTAGAGATGGGGTTTCACCATTTTGGCCATGCTGGTTTCAAACTCATGACATCATGATCAGCCTGCCTCGGCCTCCAAAACCAAAGTTCTGGGATTACAGATGTGAGCCACTGTGCCTGGCCTTTTTCTTTCTTTCTTTCTTTTTTAAGATGGAGTCTCTCTCGTCACCCAGGCTGGAGTGCAGTGGCGTGATGTCGGCTCACTGCAGGCTGGAGTGCAGTGGCCTGATCTCAGCTCACTGCCCCCTCCGCCTGCAGGGTTCAAGTGATTCTTCTGCCTCAGATTCCCAAATAGCTGGGATTGCAGGCAACCACCACTATGCCTCGCTAATTTTTGTATTTTTAGTAGAGACGCGGTTTCACGATGTTAGCCAGGCCGATCTCGAACTCCTGACCTCAGGTGATCCACCCACCTCAGCCTCCCAAAGTGCTGGGATTACAGGCGTGAGCCACTGCACCCAGCCAAATATTTTTATTAAAAAGAATAACTAAGAAAGAATAAAAGCAATACTCATGGATAGAAGAAATTTAGTCCAACAAAAATCATGGTCTTAACCTGTTTAAGAGTCTTAGAAATACATTAAATTTACGAAGTACACATCTGAAACTTCCTTTAGCATTTAACATATTTTTAAACAACTTTCTAGAGGCCATTTGACTTCCTGTCTTCTCAACCCACTCACTCTTCCACCCTTCCACCTCCTGAAATAGAGTAACTTCAATTTAATTTGATAAGTAATAACATACTACATAACTATCTCCTTAGATACTTCCATAGAAAATGCAACAGAAGCACTCAGTTAACTACGATTTGTATCAAGGTTTGCTTAGAAATGTAGCTTATGGACCATGATCTAGGTCAAATCAATCCTCTAAATCAAGTGAGCCTAAGTTGTTTTAAAATTTTAAAGTTTGTATCAGGAAAACCTCAACTTTTATTTTTTACACCTTTTAAGAGTACTAATTCATCATACTAACACATCATCTCTCTTAAATGGCTGGGTAAACCTTGGCAATTTAGACATGGATAAAGTAGAAGGCAAAGAGCAAAGTGGAAGGAGTACACAGCTGGAATTGTAAAGCCATGCATTTTACTCGACAAACTGTCAAGTGAATTGCTCTAGGTAAGAGACCTCAAAAATACAAAAAGTGGTTTAATTTTTATAAAATTGCTCCTCTTTCAGAGAAAATCTTTCACTGGAAGCCTCATTCACTCGTTTTAAGCCTTTTCCTTATCTACAGACTAGGGCAATCTCATCCACTTTAATATGGCCTCAAACACTATGGATATAGTGATGATGCCCATATTTTTGCCTTTGGCTTGTTCTCTCCCCTAAACTGCCCACTTGTGTATACCACTGCCCACTTGTGTATACCACTGCCCACTTGACATTTCCACCTGAGTATCTCACTGGCTTTTTAATGTCATCATTATGCATGAATCTAGAATCTGATGTCTGATTCTTCTCCTATAGACCTTGTCTTGCTGAATTGCACCCGATGGCTCAAGCTCGAAATCTGGGAGTCATCCTTGACTCTTCCTTGTGCTTTATCCACAATATCAAATCACCCAGTCCTCCCTTGATTCTACTGCATATACATCTCTTAAATCCATCCAATCTCTTCATCCCAATTCCCAGTACCTTAGTTTGGGTCAACATTATGTCTCATTGGGATATTTGCAATAACCTTTTAACAAACCTCCATACCTCCAATTCTAATTTGGTCAGTTGATCTTTATAGGTTTTTAGAGCTTACCAAAAAAAAAATAAAAATAATCTCAGGAAAAAAATTGAGTGTTATACAGTTACTAGCACAAATATTCTGCTTTTGGATGTTGTATTATTTTGGGTTTGCCATAGAAACAGAGAGAGATTCTAAGGAATTGTCTCACATGATTGTGGAGACTGGTAACTCTAAACATCTGCAGGGCCAATGTCCCAACTGAAAGGCACAGAGGCTGCTTAGAACCAGGAAGAGCCAGTGCCAATTCAAAGGCTGTCAGGAAGAGTTGATGTTGGAGGCCAGGCCTTCAGGCGGATTTCTCCCTTGCTGGGGGAGGGTCAGCCCTTTGTTCTATTCAGGCCTTCTAGGGATAGGATGGTCACAAGGCACACTAGGAAGGGCAATCCACTTTACTCAGTCCACTGATTTACATGTTGGGTTCATCCAAAAACATCCTGACTGAAAAAGTGAGAACATTATCTAAACAAATATCTAGGGATCTGTAGCCAAGTTGAAACATAAAATTAACCATCACACATGGGGAGAGTAAATAATATGATAAGCCTGAGTATTAGTAAGTCTAGCTAGGTGGCTAGGTGTGGTGTAGACAAGCATACCAGTTTTGGTGTCAAGACTCACAGGCATATTTTATCTCAGCCTGTTTCGGTAAACAGTAATGACACTTTCCTCAAAGAACTGATATAGTTACATGAAAAAAGCTTTTTTTTTTTTTGAAACAGAGTTTTGTTCTTGTTGCCCAGGCTGGAGTACAGTGGCGCAATCTCAGCTCACTGCAACCACCACCTCCTGGGTCCAAGCGATTCTTCCGCCTCAGCCTCCGGAGAAGCTGGGATTACAGGCACCCGCCACCATGCTCGACTAATGTTTTTGTATTTTTAGTAGAGATGGGGTTTCATCATGTTGGCCAGGCTGGTCTCAAACTCCTGACCTCAGGTGATCCACCCGCCTCGGACTCCCGAAGTGCAGGGATTACAGGCGTGATCCATGCCCCACCATAAAGCTCTTAACATAGTACCTGGCACATCTTTCAAACTCAGAATTTTTGAAACGAAACACATTTTTTTTAATGTTAAGTATTTCATCTTACTGACTTTAGTCTCTTGAGGCTTTAAAAAATTTACATCAGCTGGACGCAGTGGCTCACGCCTGTAATCCCAGCACTTTGAGAGGCCGAGGCAAATGGATCACCTGAGGTCAGGGGTTCAAGACCAGCCTGGCCAATATGGTGAAATCCCGTCTCTACTAAAAATACAAAAATCAGCAGGACGTGCTGGCGCACACCTGTAATCCCAGCTAGTAGGGAGGCTGAGGCAGGAGAATCGCTTGAACTGGAAAGCAGAAGTTGCAGTGAGCCAAGATCACACCACTGCACTTCAGCCTAGGCAACAGAGCAAGAATTTGTCTCAAAAAAAAATTTACATCATTCCTTTGGGGTTTGCATAGGGCTGGTAATGGGCTACTTACTAAGTTAAAAACAAATTCTTAAGTCTTTGAGAAAATACTTATGCTTTCAGCTCTTCCCCAACCTCTCCAATGAAGCAAATAGAAATATAAAAAGGTCTAACTATAAACTCCTAAAAAGTGCCCATAGAAAGCTCACTACCTGAAACCAGCAGTTGTCCTAAGTTGACCATAACTCAATAGAATTAGAAATCAGTAACATGTTTTTGCTTTTCTTACAGGGAAAGACAGATTCAGTTTTATCATGGAGTTAATCAAATAAATCTGTAGTGGAGGAAATACAATTTCTCCTCAAGCCTCACAAGCTCATAGTTGGGACAGATTCCTATAACAAAAGACAGATTAACAAGAGAAAAACAAGTAATTTTATTAATATATACAGTGTATATCACACAGGAGAAAACTCAATGAAAAGGTAAAACACAGGTAGTGGCTTAGAACTCTGGATTATATAGCATCTTCCACAAAGAATACATTTCAGAGAAGTGTGACAGACAAAGGAAAGCAGTTTTAGGCTTCCAGAGGCAGAAACTGTGGGAAGGTAAACGTATGGCAAGAAACTAACAGTAAGGTTTGTTTGCAGATTCCTCTGGTACTGTCTCAGCTGATTAGAGCCATCTTCTCATCTTGATATCAGGAAAGCATCTTTCTCAAAGAAGTCTGTATGGCTTGCTACAGGTAGGAAAAGGACAGTTAAGATAGCCATTTCTGCAACTACTGTTTCTCAAGTACCTTTAGCTTGAAATAATCAGTATGCCAAATCAGCGCATTTGGGGGTGGCATGTTCAAATTTCCTTCAGATCAAAAGAACAGAAAGGTCAGAATCTGGCCCTTATACAGTAACTGCATGACAGATGTTGCACTTGAAACAATGATACTCAGAGGAACAGCTATAAATGTGCAAAAATAATTAAAACAAGATTCCAAAATCATGCCATAAACGAAAACAAATTTCAGTTGGACTAAGCATCTAAATGTTAAAAACAAAAATTTTTTACGTTTTGGAAGGCTGAGTAAGACTATTTTTATGACATTTCCTATACAAAAACCAGAAAAAGCAAATCATTATGAAAGATTGGTAAGATTACATTAAAATTTAAAAATTCAAGATTTCATAACCAAAATATGAAGACAAACCAGACTAAAAAAGATAGTTGAAACATACATAACAGATTATTAGTATTCAAAATATGTAATATCTAAAAACAGACAAGTAAAAAAACAAAAGAGAAAAATGAGCAAAACTGCCTGTAATCCCAGTGCTTTAGGAGGCGGCGAGATGGGAGGATCGTTTCAGTCCAGGTTTAAGGTTACAGTGAGCTGTGATCCTGCCACCACACTTCAGTCTGAGCAATAGAGTGAGATCTTGTCTCTTAAAAAAAAAAAAAAAAGGAGTAAAAGATATGGCCTCAGAAATCACACACTGCACTTGCTCAATATCCTGGTAGTTACAAAAGTCAGCACTATAAAATGCAGGAGAAAGCTATACGGGGGCATGAACACCAGGAGGCCAGGGATCACTGGTGCCATCTGGAGGCTGGCTACCACATACATAACAGTATTTTATAGCGCTTTTAAAAAATATATTTGTATTAAAAATATAAAAACACACGCTAGAATATATGCCACCTCTAGAGTTTACCTCTGGGGACTCTAGGGAGGGAGGAAGGGGACAGGATCAAAGAGGTAACAAAATGAACTTCAAATGTATCTAATATTTGCAATTACATATATATGTGTGTCTGAAGAAAATATAGCCAAATCCTGACATTTATTACATCTGCATGGTAGAAATACATGGATTTTCTTGAACTCATTTGCCTCTCCTGTATCTTTGAAATATGTCAGTAAAAAGTTTTAAGGTAATGAATCCAAAGAAATGGAAATAAAATGTGCTTTTAATAAGAATTTATTTTTACACATTTTAAAAACTGCAGTTTTCAGGACATGTAAGAATATTTTTCTAATAGTGAAATAAGCATATTTCAGGACATGTAAGAATATTTTTCTAATACTGAAAGAAGCATTTTGGTATAGAAATCACACCCTATGTGTGATCTTTAACTAAAAAAACTAATCAAGAACTATGACCTAATATGTTAAACAAAACTATTCTTTGCCCATCCATCTGTCCCCTCTCATAGCCCCATTGCTGGGCGTTAGAATATAGTTCTGTACATATCTCCATATCTACAAAGAATTAAGATGTCATATCAAAGATGTCCAGAAGTTATATATGGTGGAGAATTAGTTGGCTTAATCGTTGACACGCAACACAAAACACCAAAAGCAACATAATATACAAGATGCAAAATAGAACACTGTCACTAAGGTCAAATAATACAAAAAAAAAAATCACATCATTTAAATTTGATGCATTGCAAACAAAGTAACTTCTTTAGAATTATTATGTATACAACCTGCAAAGCTCAAAAAGTAATAGCACAGAGCCATAAATCTGATAAGGCACCTTAAAAATAGCCATGAAACATATACAAATATCAAATACAAACACGGTTAAACTGCAAAAGCAGTAACCACAGAAATAAATAGGGAAAAAATATGCATTCTTTCTAGATAGTCTCCTTTTTCTGAAGTAAAGTCTTTAAAAAAAAAAAGTACAAAAAATATTTATCATATATTTTAAAACCTATCATCAAAGTCCAAATCTCTGTAAAAAAAAAGAATGTTTTTCTTCAAGTCAATAAAGTTCAGATTCATACATTTTCTAAAGAAACAATGACAGTCTTCATGCTAAATATAGGAAGAAAAAAGCTTTTAATTATGTTTGTTAACTCTTTTATTCAACAAACATTCAGTGAGTGCTGTGTGAACCTGTTTTAGGTGCTGGGTATATAGAATAAAGACACAATCCTTAGCTGTAGACAACTTAGCCTAATGGAGCTGGATCCACCACTGGCAACCTTAAAGTTACCTCCCCCCTTGGTCCTTAAGATGAAACGCAATTTCAAACTCTGCCATGCTTAGCATCTTGTTGCAAAACAAATAATGGTCTACCTAGTTTGCTAATGGTAGCATTGTGGCTCTAATAATATTAACCATCTATTGATGAAGTTAACTTTCAAAAAGGACTCTATGAAAGTTCAGAGGCATAAAGTATTTAAGGACAAACAAGTACTGGTCCGCAACAAAAACAGCATCGGTATTCTGCTTTCACAAAAGCCAAGAAAACCAAGAAAAATTTCATTCTGAGTATATACAGAACTCCTGGACAGAGGTCATTCTATACATGTGGTACATGTACAAATATGACATAAGAAGTCTGAATGATTGCAGTCATTATTAAACAACGAAGTATGCCAAATTAGTCATCAGGTTTCAAAGAATCATAGCCTTCTTTCAAGAGGTCTCGCCATGTTTTAAGGAATCGTGCATTTTCCGTACATTTGAAGGCAAGTTCTTCCACTTGAGCTGATACTGCAGATGTGGCTTCAAGAAGTTTGGTTAATGAAAAGGCTGCCTAAAACAAACAAAAAAGAACTCAGACATAATTTTATTTTTAAAATTCTCATCTCATTTTATAAGTAGTCTAAAAAAGCTTAAGGCTTTGAATCCAATGCCCATGTTATTTTCTTTAAAAGTAATCAATTTTCAAACTAAAGCACTGGCTCTTTCAGGGAACCTAAGAAAATTATTTAATATTGAGTAGACTTTGAAGAAACAGGTCTGCTAGAAAAATATCCATTATGTCTGAGACATGACAAATCAGTATTTTTTCTTTTCTTTTCTTTTCTTTTTTTTTTTTTTTTTGAGATGGAGTTTCGTTCTTGTTTCCCAGGCTGGAGCGCAATGGCGTGATCTCGGTTCACTGCAACCTCTGCCTTCCGGGTTCAAGCGATTCTCCTGCCTCAGCCTCCTAAGTAGCTGGGATTACAGGCATGCGCCACAACGCACGGCTAATTTTGTATTTTTAGTAAAAACAGGGTTTCTCCATGTTGATCAAGCTGGTCTCGAATCCTGACCTCAGTGATCCGCCCGCCTCGGCCTCCCAAAGTGCTGGGATTACAGGCGTGAGCCACAGCGCTTGGTCCAGTATTGTTGTTTTCTATGAAAATACACTGGAGTCTCAGCTCAACAAGATAACTTGGACCCCTTGACACTAAGTGCCAGAAGTATCTGAGGGATTTCATCATAAATAATTCTTACTGCTACTTGGGTAACATGGGCACTGACCTGTGAACACTTCAAACAATGAAAATGTATAGATCAAAGAACAGAAACTCTGAGCTCTGACAAATAACATCAAAAAATCACACACAAATGCAGAAAACACTCAGCTCCTGGTGGAAAATTCACTTTTCAGCCAAACGTTTTCTTCACCGATGATATAAAATAAAACATTGTTTCTAAATAACACATTAGCACTTCGTTCTACATATTTACTTGCAATCAGTTTGTTCTGCAAAAATAAAAGCTGGATAAGCACTTTAGTCATCCTTAAAAAAACACTTGCGGAAGCAATGAGATAATCTGGTTCATCCCCTAGTTTCCAATCTGCAGGAAAGGTCAGGCCACAGAACTCTCCCAGAAGGTTACACCCTACATACCTCATTCCACTTGACCCACTCAAGAGAACATAAAACTCCCCTTCCCTGTCTTCTCCCCTCCAGTGGTGTGTGAGTTAGGGTTGGGAGGTGAGATGCTAGTTTCTGGGGATTCGAGATTTAATAGAAACTATCCTAAGTATGCGTTCTAGCAATCCTACAAAGGGAGGAGTCCTGAACTAAACCGTCAATGAAGCCAATCCACGTGACCTAAACCCTTCAAGCTGGGTCCAGCGCTAAGCAGACCTGGGGCAGACAATGGCATTATCAGCTGTCCCTGGGCAAGTAGCCAACTAGAACAGCAGGCTCTAAGTCCCATGGAAAGAAATCACAGCCTGATCCTAAGCACCCACAGCCAGCCAGCAAACCCATGCAGTGAAAACTATTCTCCGATGGGAGAAGAAGAGGCAAAGAGAGCCAGCAACAGGCAGCACAGAGCTGCGTGGCTTCGGGTTACTGCGGATGATTGAAATCAGAAGGCGAGACAAAAAGAAACCAGTAAGGGGTGGGGCGGGAGGAGGGATAACCCCTTAAGACTCCTCACCACCAAATCTAAAGGGGGAACCCTCAGAGAGGGATAGCACTTCAGCTGCTGGCATCCTCCCGGCTTCCTGCACTCACGCTCTGGGGCGCAGAAGGGCTGGTCGTCCCGGGTCGTGGGGACTGGGGGACTCCCTAGCCACGCGAGCCCCGCCGCCGCCAGTCTTCCCAGAGGCGCCGAGGGGGGACGCGGTCCCGACACCACACTCACATCTCCGATCTGCAGCTCCACTTCCTCCAGCGGGTCCACCGTTCCGCCGCTGCTCCTGCTCGGAACTGGCCAGCCCAAACTCACTGGGCCGCCCGGGGAAGATGCTGCAGAGGCGTCTGAAGAGGAGGGAGAAGAGGGAGGCGGCGGCGGCGGCGAAGAAACCTGCAGCTCCTCAGCGTCTGCCATGGGGAAGGGCTGTGACCGCGGAATCCGGCCCGAGCAGCCGAACCCACACCAACTGTCTTTTAACCACTCGCGCCCAAAGCCGAGAGGCCCCGCCTCTTAGCGCCAGAAATCCCGCCCCGTCTCCTCGTGGGTCTCAGCCCTGGACCACAAAGACTTTTCATTTTTCGGGACAGCCAATCATATGAGTCAGTTCACCTTAGGCCGCTCACGGATCCTGCGCGAGCCTCCAGTGGGGCTCGAAGGGCGCGCGTATAGAAGACTACACCTCCCAGGAAGCCGTGCGCGTCGCCCCGCCTTCTACTGCCTTTCACTGCGCGTGTGTTGTGCTGTGAGATTCGTGGACCCCTCTGGCCGCGCTCTGGCTGTTTCACCGCGCCCCGGCTGGGACTTGGAGTCCCTTATCTTTCCCTGGTTTGGTACATGACCCGGAAGCCTCGGCTGGCCGCCGCGTCATCCATGGCGCCGGCGCAGAGCGAGAAGGAGGTGGGAACGCAGTGAAGCAAGAGCGGTCAGCAGAGCGGGGAGGCGAACTGCAGCAGAGTTCTTGCTTTCCGGCAGGTGATGGCGCCCCCCGCGGCCTAGAGGTCCAGCGCCCGCCGCGAGCAGCGGACAGTCCTGTTGTGTCCGACCGAGAGTCTTGGTGACTTTGAACATGCTGGTGCCGCTAGCCAAGCTGTCCTGCCCCGGTGAGAGGGAATGGGCGGTGGGGTTAAGTGGAGGTGTTAGGGCAAAAGGGACAAGGCCGGTCCTGGGGGCTGTAGGCACCTCTCGCACCTTCTCTCATCAGCTTTCTCAGGCTATCTAGGGCAAAGGTCACGCTCTGTCAGCTTGATAGTGGACCCTGGCTTCTTCCCTCCGGTTGCCCCAGTTGGAAGAATTAATATCTAGGCTAAAGGTCAAGGGCGGGGAAAACTTGTCAACACGTCCTCCGCACCACCACCACCTGTCAGCACACACATACCTCGGTGGACTCCTGAATCCTGAATCCTGGTTCTAATCCTCAAACCTTTGTTGGAAATGGAAAAAAAAAAAAAATCGTATTTGCCCAGTTTTTCTGCCTGTCCTGACCTGACTTTCGTCTTCGCAGCCGTCCTAGTTCAGTCTAAAGAAATTGAAGTCTGATCTGTCACATCATGGTTGACATTCATATGTTGACCAAGTCTCCTGAGTGTATCTGGAACCAGGAGTTTTTCTGCGTTGTCTAAAATTAACTTTAAGGGCTGGGCGCGGTCGCTCACGCCTGTAATCCCAGGACTCTGGGAAGCCGAGGCGGGTGGATCACCTGAGGTCAGGAGTTCTAGACCAGCCTGGCCAACATTTTGAAACTCCATCTCTACTAAAAATACAACAATTAGCTGGGCGTGGTGGCCCACGCCTGTAATCCCAGCTACTCTGGAGGCTTAGGTAGGAGAATCACTTGAACCTGGAGGTGGATGTTGCAGTGAGCCGAGATCGCACTACTGCACACCAGCCTGGGTGACAGAGCCAGACTCCGTCTCAAAAAAATAAAATAAAATTAACTCTAAGGGCCTTATCGTGTTATGGGTATTCTTTGAACCATCATGACGGATGAAGTTGGATGGTCTTTTTAAAGTTTTACTTAAATTTTTGTTGTTGTCGTTAATTCAAACAGAAAAGTTCCCTAAAGGATTTCATATTCTGTCATAACTGGCTTTATTTTTTAAAAATCTTTAGTTTACTTAAGTTTTGGTGGTAGAATAAGTATAAATATTAAAAATTCAAGGATATTCTTATGAAATTTCATGAAAGTAGAATTTTGTTAAATTTGGCTTCCATATATTAAGAAATTAGAACTTTGTTTAAATTTCATGTCGCCCATGCATTTTTTGCTGCACTTAATGTATGGATAAGATGGTGTTTGGAACATTAGTCAGGTGCTATCTGCTTTAGAGCCTAATTTAGGTGCCATCAGCCTTGAGCCCAGTGCTAACCAAATTCCACTACCATTTCTGTTTTCTTTGGATGGCAATTCTTTGCCATTTTCATAGCCTGCTGGCATGAAAGAGGTAGACACCAATGTGCCAGCAGTGTGACTTTGATATGGTGATGCTATGAGTTCAGTGGACTTTGTGACCTCTCTTCTCAACCAAGGAGACTGAATATTTAAATCTCTAAAGTGAGATAACAGATGTGCTTTCAGAAAAGGGGTAAAGATTGTGACTTTTTTTTCCAATCCTTTGGAGAAATTCAGACTACACAGTTCCAAATATTCTCAAGAAAATCAGTAGCTATACAGGCAGTAGAAATACAGTTTGTCATATGTCAATCATCAGTTTTCAGAAGTAAATAACTTCTATACACTAAACTACAATGCATTGAAAACTATTTAAAATATTCATTATAGTGTATTTGAACTCTTGAACTGAGTTCTAGAATATCTTTATGTATTTAATATACTTTTTTTTTCAAAACTTAGGATAGGTGAATAGTTATCTAAGGCTTAAAAAGTGTTCCCAATATATAGTTTTTTTGTTTTTTTATTTTTTGATACAGTCTTGCTCTGTTGCTCAGGCTGGAGTGCAGTGATGTAATCTCAGCTCACTGCAACCTCTGCCTCCCGGGTTCAAGTGATTCTCATGCCTGAGCCTCCCTAGTACCTGGGATCACAAGCGCCTACCACCATGCCTGGCTAATTTTTGTATTTTTAGTAGAGATGGGATTTTGCCATGTTGGCCAGGCTGGTCTCAAATTCCCGGCCCCAAGTGATCCTCCTAACTCAGCCTCCCAAATGCTGGGATTATAGGCATGAGCCACCACGTCTGGCCCCAATGCTATAGTTTTTAGTATGCATAAGTAAATTCATTTCTTTGCCACTTTTTAAAAAGATGACCAAACAGATTTTTATTGTCTAAAATATTTGCCTTTTCACAGAAAATGACTCTGAAAAGCATTAATCTTTTATAGTACCATGTGTCAATCATAAATGAATGCTCTAGTGAAGGAAAGTACAAAAACGACTATCTAATATTTAGTCAACAAATATGTATACCTAACATTAGGTTTTCACATACCACAAGGTCAATGCTTTTGGAGCGTGCTATCTGCTGGAGAATACAGACAACTAAAGACATTTATATTTTTACCCTTTTTTTGTCACATAAATGGTTTAAATTTTTAGTCTAGTGATATTATAACTTTTTAGATTTTTATCATTCTTAGAAAATAACTTCGAAAATCCTAGATTCGAAAAAAAAGAATTACCTGTTTTCTTCATAACATTTTTGTGTGTGGCTATAAATGTTCTTTTTTATAACAGCTTTAATAAACTTTAATAAGATATGTCACAAACCATACAATATATACTATTTAAAGTGTACAATTCAGTGGTTTTTTAGTATAGTCAGAGTTGTGTAACCATCACTGCAGTCTATTTTAGAACATTTTCATCACCCCAAAAAGAAACTCTGTATTCACTCCCAAGCCCCTTCCAGCCTTAGACAACAGTTAATCTACTTTCTGTCTCTATAGACTACCTTATTCTGAATATTTCGTATACATGGAAGCACATACTATGCTGTCTTTTTGTGACTGGCTTCCTTCACATAACATTTTGTTTTCAGAGTTCTTCTATGTGGTAGCATATATCAGTATTCAATTTCTTCTTCTTGCTAAATATTTCATTATTTGGATATATTACTTCTTACCATTTATTGATCGACATTTGGGTTGTTTCTACTTTTGGGCTGTTATAAATAATTCAGCTATTGGCCAACTGTGGTGGCTCACACCTGTAATCCCAGCAGTTTGGGAGGCTGAGACAGGCAGATTGCTCGAGCCTAGGATTTCGAGACTAGCCTACACAATGCAGTGAGACTGCTTGTCTACAAAAAAATAGAAACTATTAGCTGGGCATGGTGGCATGCACCTGTAGCCCTAGCTACTCAGGAGGCTGAGGTGGGAGGATCACTTAAGCCTGGAAAGTCAAGGCTTCAGTAAGCCATGATCACATCACTGCATTCCACCCTTGGTGACAGAGTGAGACCCTGTCTCAAAAAAAAAAAAGAAAAATAAAAAGTTCAGCTAGGAACATTCATGTGCAAGTTTTTGTGTGGAAGTATGTTTTCATTATCTTAGGGATAGACTTAGGAATGGGTCATATGAAAACTCCATGTTTAACCTTTTGAGGAACTGCCAGACTGTTTTTCAAAGAGATTGCATCATTTTTACATTCCCCCAGGAGTATATGAGGGTTCCAGTTCTTCCACATCCTTGCTAACTCTTGTTATTGAAACTGCCCAAGGGGTTCTCCTTGCCCACTACCCAGACAGAGCCAATTTATCAAAACAGGATAATTAGAATAGAGAAGGAGTTTAATTCACACAGAGGCGGCTGTACAAGAGACCATAGTTTTATTATTACTCAAATCAGTCTCCCCGAAAACTTGGAGACTGGGGATTTTAAGGACAATTTGATGAGTAGAGGGGGTCAGAAAATGGGGAGTGCCAATTGGTCAGATCAGAGATGAAATCATAGGGAGATCAGTTTGTCCTCTTGCACTGAGTCAGTTCCGGAGTGGGAGCCACACGACCAGATGAGCCAGTTCATTGATCTGGGTGGTGCCAGCTGATCCATCAAGTGCAGGATCTGCAAAGTATCTCAAGTAGTGATCCTAGATTTTAAAATAGTGATGTTATCGCCGGGAACACTTTGGGAAGGTTCAGAATCTTGCCACCTCCAGCTGCATGACTCTTAAACCATAATTTCTAATCTTGTAGCTAATTTGTTAGTCCTGCAAAGACAGTCTGGTCCCCAGGAAGGAAGGGGGTTTGTCCTGGGAAAGGGCTGTGATTGTCTTTGTTTCACAATTAAACTATAAACTCCCAAAGTTAATTCAGCCTACTCCCAGGAATGAACAAGGACTACTTGGAGGTTAGAAGCAAGATGGAGTCAGTTAGGTCAGATCTCTTTCACTGTAATAATTTTATCTGTTATAAGTTTTGCAAAGGTGGTTTTATTATTACTTGTCTTCTTGACTATAGCCATGCTAGTGGATATAAAGTAGTATCTCATGTGGCTTTGGTTTGCATTTCCTTGATGGCGAATGCTGCTGAGCGTCTTTTCATGTACTTATTGGCCATTTGTATATCATCTTTGAACAAGTGTCTATTCAGATCCTTTGCCCACTTTTTAATTGGGTTATTTGTCTTTTTATTACTAGGTATAGGAGTTCTTTATGTATTCTAAATATAAGTCCATTATCAGATATATGATTTGAAAATATTTTCTCCCATTCCATGGGCTATCTTTTCACTTTCTTGATGGTGTTCTTTGGCACACAACAGGTTTTAATTTTGATGAAGTGCAATTTAACTGTATTTTTTGTTGTTGCTTGTGTTTTTGGTTGCTCTATCAAAGAAACCATTGCCTAGCCCAAGTGTTGATGAAAAAGCCAAACTCCGTAAACTATCTGGAAATATTAATTCTGAGCCAAATGTGAGGACCATGACCCATTATACAGCCTCAGGAGGTCCTGAGAACATGTTCCCAAGGTGGTTGGGTTACAGCTTGATTTTATACATTTTAGGGAGAGAAGTTACAGGCAAAGACATTATCAATACGTGTAAGGTTTACGTTGGCTTGGCCTGGAAAGGCAGGACATCTCAAAGTTCACGAATTTGTGTTGGGCCACATTTAAAGGCATTCTGGGCAACATGCTGCCCATGGGCTCCAGGTTGGACAAGCTTGCCTTAAAAGGTATCAGACTCTTAGTTAAATCTCTTCTAGATCAGGAAAAGGCCAAGAAAGGGGAGAGAATTCTCCACAGAATGTAAATTTTCCTCACAAGAGACAGCTTTACAGGGCCAATCCAAAAATTATGTCCAAGAAATATATTTTGGGGTACAATACTTTGATTTCCTCTAGGGCCTGTTGTCATGTATGTTATACCAGAGTCAGGTTGGAGTTGGTATCTTATTGCTACAAAGAGTCTGTTCTGTCAGTCTTAGGATTTTGATATTAATGTTAATGATGGTCAGTTATGTCTGAACTCCAAAAGGGAGAGGGTATAATGAGGCATGTCTGACCCCCCACTTACCATCATGGCATGAACTACTTTTTTGGGTTTCTTTGGAATCCCCTTGGCCAAGAGGAGAGTCCATTCAGTTGGTTTAGGGGCTTAGAATTTTATTTTTGGTTTACACAAGGTCACAAAGATTTACACTCATGTCTTCAAAAAGTTTTATGGTTTTAGCTCTTATATTTGGGTTTGATCTTTCTTATCACCATAATCTTTTTTTCAACTTTTAACCTTGAAATAGTTTTAGATTTACAGATGAGTTGCAAAGATAGTACTGAGTTCCCATATGCCCTTTGCTGAGCTTAATGTCTTATATAACCATAGTATATTTATCAAAACTAAAATATTAACATTGATGAAATAAAGTTAATTAAACTACAGATTTTATTCAGATCTTCTTTTTCTGGTCCAGGATCCAGTCCAGAGCACAAGGTTGCCTTTAGTTGGCAGGTCTCCGTAGTCTACTTCAGTTTGACAGTTCCTCTGTGTTTTCTTGTGTCCCAAGACCTTTACACTTTTGATATGTACTGGTCGAGCATTTTGTAGAATGTCCCTCAATCTGAGTTTGTCTGATGATTTCTCATGATTAGACTGAGGTTAAAGATTTTTGGGGATAAATACCACAGAGGTAAAGAACCCTTTTCACCACATCATATCAGGGGATACATGGTATCAATATGTCTTATTGCTGGTAGCGTTAAACTTGATCACTTGCTTAAAGTGGTATCTGCCATATTTCTCTACTGTAAAGTTAACATTTTTCACTTTCCATTCTCTACTTGTTAGAAGCTACCCAGTAAGTTCATCCCACACTACTAAAAGGGAGGAGAAAACTGAAAGATTGATGGATATATCACCGTCTTTTTTTTTTTTTTGAGACAAAGTGGTTGTCGCCCAGGTTGGAGTACAGTGACGTGGTCCTAGCTCACTGCAGCCTCGAATTACTGGGCTCAAGCGATCATCCTACCTCAGCCTCCTGAGTAGGTAGGACTGCAGGTGCATACCACCACACCTAGCTAATTTTTTTACTTTTTATTTTTTGTTTCTGTAGAGAAGAGGTCTTGCTATATTGCCTAGGCTGATCTTGAACTCCTGGCCTCATGCAGTCCTCCTGCCTTAGCTGAGATTTACAGTCATGAGCCACTGTGCCCAGCCCACCATAGTCTTCTCTACTTTGAACTTTCCCTAATAAAATCTTCGATCAAACAGAATTCATTTTGACATAGGGAGCAGAGTATACTTTTTTCCTGAATGGCTTTCTGGCTATCTCTGCACCATTTAATGAGTAACCATTTCTTCTCCCTAATTTGAAATGGTATCTTTATTATATACCATATACGTATGTGTACTATTTCTGAAGTCTTTATTCTTTTTTTTATTATTATTCTATCCCTTCTCCTATAACAGACTTCTAATGAATATAGCTTCAAATATAGGTTTTTATATCTGTCAAGAGTGGTTTCGTGGGAGGATTCTCTGTCTTTTTTTAATGATAGGGATGATTATCAAGGAGAACAGAGGTTGAGAAGGGAGTCAAAATTGAAGATCAGAAGGGAGGGGATCAGATGGAGGAATGTCTCTAAGACAACGGTAGAGATAAGCCTCATCATCCAGCTAGAAAGATTAACCCCAGTGGGGAAGAATATAGTCTGTTTCACTATATTCACTGAGTACAATCAATGGGAGAAAAGACATCTCTCCTGCTATAAACTGAGATAATGAACAAAGTATGGGCACAAATACAGATTATATTAGAAGTTATTGCCAAGGAGTTGAGAAAATTCCCATCTAATTGCCTCTGTCTTTATGAGGTTTGATGCTAGGGTACCTGCCCTGGATAAGGGAAAGAAAAGGTAGAGTTGAAGGTTTGAGGACAGCAGAGAAGGTTCAGTGAACATTTTTGCAGATAAATCTTTGCACATTTCTGTTCATTTCCATAAAATACTTTTTGCTGACTCAAAAATGTACACATTTTTAAGGATATCAGAAGATACTGTGGCCAGGCACAGTGGCTCATGCCTGTAATCCCAGCAGTTTTAGAGGCTGAGGCAGGCAGATCACTTGAGGCCAGGAGTTCGAGACCAGCCTGGCCAACATGGCAAAACCCCGTCTCTACTAAAAAAAAAAAAATCCAAAAATTACCTGGGTGTGGTGGTGCACACCTGTAGTCCCGGATACTCTGGAGGCTGAGGCATGAGAATCGCTTGAAACCAGGAGGCAGAGGCTGTGGTGAGCCGAGATTGCACCCCTGCACTCCAGCCTGGGTAACAGAGCAAGACTCTGTCTCAAAAAAAAAAAAAAAGAAAAGAAACAGCAGCAGCTACTGCCATATATGTAGGTCAGCTTATTTTAAAAAGAACCTGACCATAAAACCAAGTTTGTGCTTAAAGCCATTGACCTACACAGTTACTATACTACTCTGTATTACTCTCAAAGTGTTCAGCTTTCATGACTAATCCATGAGCCTGACATGAGCTAAATTGAATAAATTTGTTTATTAGTTTTAAAATATTTAAGATTTGAAAACATTGCTTTATGAGAAAAAGCTATTCAAATTGTTCACCTAAGAAAGAGTATAGTCTAATTCACTATACTCATTTATATTTTTATTATAATATATATGAATCTTTATAAATATTCACTTATATTTTTTCAGTCTACTGAGGAAAACTAATTTTAAGGAAGATAATAATTTTCATAATTTTTGTGCAGCATATCAGTGCTTTCATGCCTTAAAAATTAAGAAAAAGTATCTACCTCTGTGTGCTACAAGATGGTCTTCAACTTCTACTGTGCCTCGAATTACTACCCATTATACTATTTATCCCCGGGATAAGGACAAGAGATGGGAAGGTAAGTAATAATTTGTGTACAATTCATGAGACTTTTCTGGATACTTTGTTTCATTTTGTGGAGGAGAGTATAATATTTTTCATAACTTAAAAGCATCCAATAATATTTTATGGCTTTACCAAGTCACGTGCTGCATAATGACACTTCAGTCAACAACTTGACAACATTTATGACGGTAATCCCTTGACATTATAATGGAGCTGAAAAATTCCTATCACCTAGTGACATCTTTTAGAACATAGCTTCCAGACCATCGTAGCTCAACACATTACTCAGTTCTTTGTGGTGAGTCTGATGTAAACAAACATACTCTACTGCCAGTTCTTTAAAAGTATACCATATACAATTATGTACAGTACATAATACATGATAATAAACAACTGTTACTGGTTTATGTATTTACTGGATTGTACTTTTGTCATTACTTTAGAGTGTACTCTTACTTGATTTTTTAAAAAGTTAACTGTAAAACGGAGGTCCTTCAGGAGGTATTCTGGAAGAAGCTAACATTTGCATAGGAGATGACAGCCCATGCGTGTTATTGTCTTTGATGACCTTCCAGTGGGAGAAGATGTGGAGGTGGAAGATACTGATGATCCTGACCCTGTGTAGGCCTAACTAATGTGTGTGTTTGTGTCTTAATTATTATTTTTTTTTTGAGACAGAGTCTCACTCTGTCGTCCAGGCTGGAGTGCAGTGGCTCACTGCAAGCTCCGCCTCCCGGGTTCATGCCATTCTCCTGCCTCAGCCTTCCATGTAGCCGGGACTACAGGCGCCCACCACCTCATCCAGCTAATTTTTTGTATTTTTAGTAGAGACAGGTTTCACCATGTTAGCCAGGGTGGTCTCGATCTCCTGACCTCGTGATCCACCCACCCCAGCTTCCCAAAATGCTGGGATGTATCTTAATTTTTAATAAAAGGGTTTAAAAGGTATGTGTTTAATGGAGAAAGCTGCCCAGATAGGAGCTCGTACTCTCTCAGGGGCTTGCCTTGATCCAGGTGCTTTTAAAGAACTCTTCCCAGACTGGAAAGAGAAGGGGGTATGAAAACTTGTTTTTTATACAAAGTCTAAAAAATTTTTAAATAGAAAAAAGCTTACAGAAAAATGATATAAACCATTTTTTGTACAGCTGTACAATGTGTTTGTGTTTTAGCTAAGTGTTATTACAAGAGAGTTAAAAAGTTTAAAACATTTAAAAGCTTATAAACTAAAAACATTACTGTAAGCTAAGTTTAATTTATTGACAAAAATATTTTTGTATAAATTGAGTGTGACCTAAGTGTACAGTGTTTATGAAGTCTATAGTAGTGTAATGTCCTTGTCCTTCACATTCTCACTGCTCAACTCAGTCACTCACCAAGAACAGCTTCCAGTCCTGTAAGTTCTGTTCATGGTAAGTACCCTGTACAGATATACCATTTTTAAATCTTTTATACTGTGTTTTGTACTTTTCATACTGTATTTATAATGTATTTCTATTTATACTATATACGTTTTATACTGTATTTATTTGGTACTTTTTCTGTGTTTAGATGTGTTTAGTTACATAAATACTATTATGTTACAGTTACCTACAGTATGCAGTATAGTCACATGCTATATAGCTTTGCAGCCTAGGACTAACAGTCTATACCCTGTTGCCTAAGTGTATCATAGGCTATACAATCTAGTTTGTGTAAGTATACTCTATGATGTTTGCAAAAGGGCAAAATTGCCTAATGATATATTTCTCAGAAAGCACTTCTGTCATTAAGCTACTTGTGACTGTATTTTAGACAAGTAAATATTTGCTAAATGTATAATAATAAATCTCAAAGCCAAGAATTAGTTTATGGAAACTGAAATAAAGTATATACTGGAACAGAACCTAAGAATATACCCATACTAATACAGTAATATGCTTAATATAATTATTGTGCAAAACACAGGGAGAATTTCCATAAATAATGCTCTAAAGCACAGTGGATATTTTTTAAGTATCATGTGATTTATCATGTGATTATTGGGTCATATTAATCCCAGAATTTTTATTTCTCCCAGGAGTGAACATGGAAAGGTTTGCAGAAGAAGCGGATGTTGTAATAGTTGGTGCAGGCCCTGCAGGGCTCTCTGCAGCTGTTCGTCTAAAACAGTTGGCTGCGGCACATGAAAAGGATATCCGTGTGTGTCTAGTGGAGAAAGCTGCCCAGATAGGAGCTCATACTCTCTCAGGGGCTTGCCTTGATCCAGCTGCTTTTAAAGAACTCTTCCCAGACTGGAAAGAGAAGGGAGTATGAAAAATTGTGTTTTATACAAAGTCTAATCTTTTGTAATTGCATGTCAGTAATTGTTCCCAAATTACTGGAATATAGAAAACCCTTTTCATGTAACTCTTTTTTTTTTTTTTTTCTTTTTTTTTGAGATAGAGTTTCGCTCTTGTTGCCCAGACTGGAGTGCAATGGCGCGATCTCGGCTCACTGCAACCTCCACCTCCCAGGTTCAAGCGATTCTCCTGCCTCAGTCTCCCTAGTAGCTGGGATTACAGGCACCTGCCACCACACCCAGCTATTTTTTTATATTTTTAGTAGAGACAGGGTTCCACTATTTCACTGTGTTGGCCAGGCTGGTCTCGAACTCCTGACCTCAGGTGATCCACCCACCTTGACCTCCCAAAGCTCTGGGATTACAGTCATGAGCCATCACGCCCAGCCCGTGTAACTCTATCTTAGGGAATAATTATATACTTTTTAAATTAAAAAAATAATTTATATCAGAATTGTAATTTATGATATTAACAAATAGTTTTGTGTAATTCTTTCTACGTGTATTTGTGTAATGGGTATATGAGAAGATAATAACTTGAGAAGACCTTTGAATATTTCTTGGGAGGCATTTTGTATTTTGAGAGTATTTTTAAACTTGTTCTTTAAGTCTTTGTATGATTGTTCTTAATAAAGTAATAATTTCTGGGACAATGCAATATCTAAAGCCAAAGAGGTTAGATTTTCTAAAGAAACATATTAATATGGCTTCTGAGAACCGAAGCAGAAAAACCACAGGTGTGACATCCAGAGGACCAAGTCCAAGTTTTATTGTCTTAAATAAAATTTGTATGAATTTGGTTAAAATCTTAGACTGTCATTTTTTTCTTCTCTAAGATAGGTTATATTATACCTGTCCTACCTCCAAGATTAGATTATTCAGTGGTTGTGAATATACTTGCAAAGATTAAAAAAAATATGAATATCATCTGTATTCTTTCCATATGGAATAAATTGAATTCCAAAAATTTCATCTGTGCTCTCCTTTCTGAAATATCAAGCTCCCTTAAACTAGAAATACTTTAATTGGACCCAATCGAATTTATCCTTTCGATATTATATCAGAAATGGATATTATTGAATTAACATTGATATAATATCAATTCTAATAGAAAATGTTTTTCATGTTAAAGCCCTTTATTGCTTTGGCACCTTTTTTTTTGAGACAGGGTCTCACTCTGTCACCCAGGCTGGAGTACAGTGGCACAATCATGACTCTGCAGCCTCAACCTCCCAGCTCAAGTAATTCTCCCACTTCAGCCCCCTCAGTAGCTGGGATTACAGGTGTGCGCCACTATGCCCAGCTAATTTTTGTATTTTTTTAGTACAGACGGGATTTTCCCATGTGGGCTCAAATCCACGGGCTTCAGCCTCCCAAAATGCTGGGACTATAGGCCTGTGAGCCATCACACACAGCCTTTGGTGCCTTTTAATATGTAAACTCAGCAGGTACAATGTCACAACATGTTAATTGTCTTTATCCAAAAGGAAAATAAAATTTATCTTACCTTTCACCAACCAGGAAGTTTCAGCTTAGAGCCAAGCACCTCTCCACAGAGACAAAAAGACATGATGGTCATGTTTCAAAGATGTTTCCAAGACTCCCAAGAGATATATTCCTGTGATACAAAACTGGCAAGACGTTTATTTAGATTTTTAAAAGATTCCCAGCTGGCCGGGTGTGGTGGCTTATGCCTGTAATCCCAACACTTTGGGAGGCCAAGCGGGGTGGATCACTTGAGGTCAGGAGTTCGAGACCAGCCTGGCCAACATGGTGAAACCCCCCTCTCTGCTAAAACTACAAAAATTAGCCGGGCATGGTGACAGGTGCCTGTAAGTCCAGCCACTTGGGAGGCTGAGGCAGGAGAATCACTTGAACCCAGGAGGGAGAGGCTGCAGTGGGCCAAGATTGCACCACTGCACTCCAACCTGGGTGACAGAGACACTATCTCAAAAGAAAAAAAAAAAAGATTCCCATACATCTCAGACAGAGAAAGGATTTAGAGTGACAAGTTTTCTAAAGGAAATGCCAAAAGAAAATTAGGGGGAAGTTCTTTTTTTGTCATCAGAGTACATTTTATAGTTTTTTAGATTTATGTTTACACTTGCAAATATAAATTAAAAACATTTCTTTTTCTTCTTTTATTTCTAGGCTCCACTTAACACTCCTGTAACAGAAGACAGATTTGGAATTTTAACAGAGAAATACAGAATTCCTGTGCCAATTCTTCCAGGTAAGGTATAGTGAATATTCATAGAACTATGGAATTCCACAGCTGGAAGGAACTACTTTTCATCTGGCAAAATTTCCTCCTTTTACAGATGAGACCTAAGGCCCAGATATTTGAAGGATTTATTCAAAGCTATACAGCTAGCTGGTGGGAAAGCAGGACTAGAACTCAGTTCTTTTGACTTCCAGTCTAGAAGAATTGAGATAGCCTTGTAAGCCAAGCAGGAATTTCTAACTTAGTGCTTTCATGTTGTTTGTAATGTAATAAATTAGAACTCTAGGCCAAAATTGTAGAAAATAAGTTGAAGGTGTTACCATCAATATAGCACTTATGTAGAAATACATACTGATTTGAGATTTTAAAGTATTTATGTTTTTGTAATGTCTTATCAATAAAAAGTCAGAATTATAAATTAAGCATATATTTATAGGGCTTCCAATGAATAATCATGGCAATTACATTGTACGCTTGGGACATTTAGTGAGCTGGATGGGCGAACAAGCAGAAGCCCTTGGTGTTGAAGTATACCCTGGTTATGCAGCTGCTGAGGTTTGTATAGTTTTATTTTGTTTTTAATATTTATAGGAACTCCTTTTTTAATAAGTGGAGAATTTTGCAAAGTTGAAGAAATAAGTATTTTTTGAAAGTCAGAGGATTTTAGAATTATAAGATTAGAAGGAATCTTTAAAATATCTAATCCAAAGAGTACTTGAATTCCTCATGTTGTACCCCCATCAAGTGATTGTCCAACTTATGATTGATCACCATAAGGGATGAAAAATTGTGTATTGTTGGTAATCTCTTCCTTATTTTGAACAGAACTTATCTACAGTTTTATACTATCCAGAACAAATCTATGCCCTCTTCCAAGGACAACTTTCTAAATATAATTATTCCTTGCTCTCTCTTCCTCCCTATCTTTACTCTGGAATTTTTTTTTCCCCAGTGTAGGGGTGGTATAGGAGTTAAGGGAAAGGTTTGTCTCTGCCCTCTGAAGGTTCACCAGAAATGAACTGACAATAGAGAGAATAATAGGAGAAAAAGCATACAGATTTATTTAACATGCATAAGCACAAGAGAATGATGACCCGATGACCCAGTGAGGTCCAAATGCTCATCAGGGGGGAAGGGGAAATTGGGTGTTCAGCAATCTTGAAAGGAAGTGAATGATTTTTAGGGAGAATGATTGCACCCAAGACACAGAAATTAACTTGTAAATGATTCTCTTTGGAATTTGAATTAGCCTGAGAGGCAGGCATGATCTTATGAAAAAGTGTTTGTCTAGGTGTAGTTGCCTTCTTCTGTTTTCTTTTCTGCAATAGATATTAATAGTAAGATTTCAGGAATGGGGTGGAAGACCATGTGTTCTCTTTGGCAGGTCCAGTCTTAAGGTAGAGAATAGAATATCAGAGAAGAGCCGCATCCAGTGCTTTAGAAGAGATAGGGTTGAAAGACAGGAGGAGGGGAAGGTCAGAGACACCCTGAAGCTGCTGCTCTGGTTTAGCATGCCAGAGTGGCATATTTTAGCCTATCGTTTTCTGAGCCCCAGTAGCAGAAACGTGTGATACCCTTCCTCACCCATCGTAAGGGTCACAGCTGACACTCCTGTAACAAAGACAGGGTAACAAGAAAAACATAACAAATTTATTTAATCAAAGTTTTACACGATATGAAATCCTTCAGAAATAAAGGCCCCAAAGACCCAGAGGAAACCATTTTCATGCTTCAGTACAATAAGAATGGACAGCCATGTGGAAATGTGATTAGACAGAAGGGTATGATCTAACGGTAGTAGACTGAGAGAGGAAGCCAGGCAAGGCCTGTCTGTTCACATTTTCTTTGGCCTTTCTGTATAGCATTTCTTCCTCTGAGGTATGGCTGGAGCAGAAATCCTCTGGAATGAGAGTTTTCAAGGGGAAAGGGAGAAGGAAGAAAGTAACCTTTCTAGGTTTTATGGCCTGTATTAAGGGAGAGGAGTTCTAGTTTCTATGACTCACCTTGAGGAAGAGGAATCCTGGTTTCTGTGACTTGCTTTAGGGGAGAAAGAGGAATGGGAGAAGGTAAGAAAGACCTTGTTTCTGAGGTCTTCCACTCTTCCTTCAGTTCCAGGTACTCAGCATAGGGGCTGAGTACCAAGGGAAAACATCCCCCTTTCCCTCTGAAGGTTCATAGAAAAATCAGCTCACAAGAGGCAGGTTAGTAGGAGAAAAGGCATACAGGTTGATCAGCATGCATGAAGAGAATATTACAGAGTGATTATCCTACCACACAATGGGGTACAGTTATATGCCTTTCTTGGTAGGGGAAATGGAGATGGGGAAGTATGGATGACTTTGGGGGGATAATAAAAGATTTTTAGGGGAATTCAATGGGCTTGAAGAATATACAGTGACCTGGGACAAAGTCTCTTGAGCCTGCAGAGGAGACAATGGTTTCTGACAGAAGCCTGTCCAAGTTTATTGACAGACTTCAGTCATTCTTCCTGCAGTATGAGTTCAGTTCATGAAAACTCAGGAAAGGGACCAGAAGTAATTGTTTGCTTCTTTGGTAGGCCCATGTTTTAGGAAGATAAGGGAACTTCAGAGAACAACTTCATCCTGTGTTTTGGGAGAGAGAGGATTAAGAGACAGGGACAGTTGGCCAGGGAAGGTCAGAGAGACACTGAAGCTTCTTCAGTTCAGCATGTCAAAGCACCATATTTTGGGATATCGGTTTCTAAGCCTCAACTTCAGCATGCCAGGGTGCCATGCTTTTTAGGGTATTATCTTCGGAGCCCCATCGCTAGCTAGCTTAAATATTCTCAGTTCTGAGCCCCAACACTAACTTAAATATTCTCAGTTCTTTCAGCCATGACGGTACATAATTTGAGTTTTGAGTTCTTTCAGTATTCTTGCTGCCCGCTTCTGAATGGATCCTCTTTTTATCCCCTTTACAAAGTGGCACCCAGAATGAATAAACCACTTCATGTCTAGTGTAGAGCTGTTATCTTCTCCATTCTAGAAACTCGTCTTCCATTGATTCCCTCAAAGTAATTACATTTTTGGCAACCACATCACACTGTTGATTCTTATTATGTATTACTGGGGAAATTATTAAAAATAAAATCTCAGCTGGGCGTGGTGGCTCACGCCTGTAATCCCAGCACTTTGGGAGGCCAAGGCGTGGGTGGTCACGAGTCAGGAGATCGAGACCATCCTGGCTAACACAGTGAAACCCCATCTCTACTAAAAATACAAAAATTTAGCCGACATGGCGGCACATGCCTGTAATCCTAGCTACTTGGGAGGCTGAGGCAGGAGAATCGCTTGAACCCAGGGGGCGAAGGTGCGCAGTGAGCCGAGATCATGCCACTGGCACTCTAGCCTGGGCGACAGAGCGAGATTCCATCTCAAAAAATAAAAATAAAATCTCCTAGGACCAGAAAAATTCTCTTCATAAATTATAAAAAAAGAACAAAACAGGCGGGCGCGGTGGCTCACGCCTGTACTCCCAGCACTTTGGGAGGCCGAGGTGGGCAGATCACGAGGTCAAGAGGTCAAGACCATCCTGGCAACATGATGAAACCCCGGTTTCTACTGAAATACAAAAATTACCTGGGCGTTGGGTGGGCGCGCTGTAGTCCCATGCACTTCGGGAAGCTGAGGGCAGAAGAATCACTTGAACCCAGGAGGCGGTCGAGGTGTTGTATCAGTATGAGTATAGGAGATCCTCGCGCGCCACTTTCGCACTCCAAGCAACATGGTGTGCGAGCAGAGGCGAGGACTTTGGATACAGGGCGTGAGCACCGCCAAGCGGACCATAGCGCGCGGCGGATCTCGTTCGCTCATTCGGTTCCATAAGCATATCAAGAGACAAAGGCTGGGGTGCGTCGCGCTCTCTGGGCTCCGTCCACAGCCTGTAATCTGCCCAGGGAGTGCCAGGTCGACTGCGTAGGAGTGGCAACTCACATGAAACTCGCCTCCGAGGGGCGTATCCACAAAGGTTGTACATGGTACTATATAAAGCTGACATCTCTCGAGGTCAACACATGGCCCCACACACCATCGTCTTACTTGGAGTAGAAACATATAGGCCACGACTCACAGGCGCATAACCCACCCCACAGCCACGCAGTAAAGGTAGGGGTACATTTTTGTATTTTCAGGTAGAAACTGGGGAGTTTTCATCAGTGTCTGGCCAGGATCGGTCTTGACCACATCTATATATAAAAACCTTACGGTCTGGACAATTGGCTTGGGGCCTAGCGGCCACCTGATCATTCAGCTACTCGGGGGGACTCGCCTAGTGCACAACAGAATGGCCGTTGAGACCCGCCGATACACGCGGGAGGGACGGGCACGACTTCCGACGCCTAGATCACGCCACTGCACTCCAGCCTGGGTGACAGAGTAAGACTCTGTCTCAAAAAAAAAGAACAAAACAGTTTTATTCTTGAATTAGCCTTAAACCAAGACTGTGATGCCTATCACAGGCCAAGACAGAAATCTCACCCTTTTAAATAGCCAGGCAGATACAATCCATTCATTGCATGCATGTTAACTGTCTTTACTCAAAGGAAAAATAAAATGTTTTGGTATTTTTTTTTTTTTTTTTTTTTTGGACAAGCAGGAAGTTACAACTTAAACCCAAACACCTACCCAAATTCCCACAGAGACAGGAAGACAGGAGGCATCCTTCTTGGTATTCCATTTCAAAGCAATGGCTCCAAAGCCCTAAAAAAGACATTCTTGGAATGCACTTTAAAAAGACTGCCATGTATCTCAGAGAGACAAATAAAGGATTTACAGTTGGAAGTTTGCTAAAGGAAATGCTGAAAGAAAAGTTATTGGCACTAAGGAAAGTTCGTTTTTTTTCTGTTTGTTTTTACCCTTACAGTTTGTAAGTCAAATACAACACATTGGTCCCTGTATTATACTTGCTGCTATAAATTTCTGTTTTCCTAGCCCATATACATGCATTTGGGTTTTTGGACCCAAGTGTGGGATTTTGTATTTCTCCTTGTCAGACATTGTTGACTGGAATCAGTGCCACAGTCACAGGTAGGTGGTTTATAGAATCCATGATTCTCACTTTTGGAATACATACATGAACACTCAGACTCACTTGTATCATGCTGCTTTTTCTCAGGTCCTTAATGATTATCATCAACAGATTATTGATCTCTTTGCCAGGGTTTTTTGAGAGTACTCTGAGCCAAACTTCAGTTTAGTCTCTAGCCATATTCTGCTGCTGATTTGTTCGTTTTCAGGATATCAAATAAAACCTTTATGTATATTCTTTATGGGGAGGTTTCATATCCATTGCTGCTAATCTTTTCTTTTACCTCTCCACTTCCATGCTTTCTTATAATCTGCTGTGTAATTGCATTGTACATTTTGTACTTTACTATCCAACGAGCATTTTCCTCCACAGAGAAAACAGAAACCAAGGGTTACAGACTATTGCTATTTCTCCTCATCAGAATTACACTTTTGACCTATTTTCCCCCTTTTTCTTGCTCCAAAAATAAAATAAACTTTTATCATCCTTGGTCTGTCTTCAGCTTCTCCCTGTTTTGTTTTATTTTTTTGTTTATTGAAGTCTTCACTCATTTGAGATGTAAGCTTTCCTGACAGTTTCTTTCTCTCCACCTTCATGTTCTTCATTTGTTACAGGCCTCCATTTCAGATTCTTTACACATGATTTGACATCTGAAGGGCACTTCTTGTTTAATCTTACTGGTTTCCCTAGTAATCTCTCTAGTAGTCTCCCCTTTTCTTTCTCATCAAGGTTGTGGCATTGTTTTCATTTCCCATTGTGTGAGCTCTGTTCTTTAATACTCTAGAAGGGAGTACCTTAATACATGTCTCTTTATTGCCTGAACATCTTAAAGTCTGTATTTCTGTAATCTAGAGAAGATGTTCACCTTCTAAGAAACCTAAGGCTGTTTACTGGTTTTTCAAGATTATTATGAATTCTAAGGTATTAATAAATTTGTTTTTATCATTTTTAGGTCCTTTTTCATGACGATGGTAGTGTAAAAGGAATTGCCACTAACGATGTAGGGATACAAAAGGATGGTGCACCAAAGGTAAACCTTCTTAGTAGTTACGTGCTTAACAAACCGACAAACAACAGAAAGAACTGTGTGGGCAACAAAATGAGATCCCATCTCTCCAAAAAAAGAAAAAAAAATTAGCTGGACTTCATGGTATGCACCTGTAGTCCTAGCTACTTTGGAGGCTGAAACAGGAGGATCACTTGAGCCCAGGAGTTCGAGGCTGCAGTGAGTCATAATCATGCCACTTCATTTCAGCTTGGGTGAGTGACAGAGCAAAACCCTGTATTAAAAAAGAAAAAGAAGAAGAAAGAACCAACTTAGACTCAATAAAGGTCTTGCTACAAACTATACATTAATTATGTGGGTGTTGGGAGGCCCAGACAGTTGGATCACTTGAACCCATGAGTTTGAGAACTTCCTGAGCAACATAGCGAGACCCTGTCTCTACCAAAAATGCAAAATTAGCCAGTCTTACAACCCTGTCTCAAAATAAATAAGAATTTTAAAAATTTCAAAAAATGTGGGTGTTAGAATACAGTAATTAATATGGAATTTTTCTCATTAAAAAATATAGAAGCAACTTTGAGCTAACAGTGATTTAGGCAAGTAGTTATAATATGTTTAAAAAATTTTTTAAAGATAATGACATACAAATATATAAACATAAGTCAAACACATGTCAAAGATTTTATTTCATTTAGTTAAGGAGAGAATCAGTAAGATATTACAACCAGTGCAAGAAGAATTCAAACATACACACATTTACAGGCCATCAATCCACTTCATTAACCAAATACATCAAATGAAAATAGTTTCTGCAGTTTTTATTTCTCCACAATTTTCATTTCGTTGGACAAGAATCATTTTGCATTACTATCAGTAGGTAAGTAGTGATATACTTTGACGTGTTTGTTTGTTGCCCAGGCTGGAGTGCAGTGGCGCGAGCTTGGCTCACTGCAACCTTTGCCTTCCAGGTTCAAGCAATTTCCCGCCCTCAGCCTCCCGAGTAGCTGGGATTACATCTGTGCGCCACCATGCCTGGCTACTTTTTGTATTTTTAGTAGAGATGGGGTTTTGTCATGTTGGCCAGGCTGGTCTTGAACTCCTGACCTCATGATCCACCCGCCTCGGCCTCCCAAAGTGCTGAGATTACAGGCATGAGCCACCGTGCCCGGCCACTTTGACATGATTTTAACCTCTTTTGGTAGATGTAAAACTGATTCTCCACCTCTCATTCAAAATATAAACCTGGATAATTTTCAGATTTTCACATCTTGTATTTTTGAATCTGAAAGCAAAACCATCAGAACATAGAACTGTCACTCTTTGGAAAAGATAAGGAAAAAAATAGCTTGCTGTCCTATAATATGAACAAAACACAAATTAACATCTCAATCAACTGGCCTGTCTATTCAGGTTTATTTATTATCCAATTTCCCAACTAGATTATAAGCTCCCAAAGGATAGAGATCCTGGGTTATTCCAATGCCTGGCATAATGCCAGGTACATATTAGGTCTCAGTAAATATTTGTCAACTGATAGTTTATCCTCCTCTCTGCCACTCTTGGAATAGAATTAGGAATCTAGAGTCTCTTCCAGCAGACTTTCTGCTTCTCACATTTCCTGCTTCAAAAGCAAATAGCGGCTGGGCGCGGTGGCTCATGCCTGAAATCCCAGCACTTTGGGAGTCCGAGGCGGGCAGATCACGAGGTCAGGAGATCAAGACCATCCTGGCTAACACAGTGAAACCTCGTCTCTACTAAAAAAAAAAATACAGAAAAATTAACCGGGCATAGTGGTGGGTGCCTGTGGTCCCAGCTACTCAGGAGGCTGAGGCAGAAGAATGGCGTGAACCCAGGAGGCGGACCTTGCAGTGAGCCGAGATCACGCCACTGCACTCCAGCCTGGGCGACAGAGCGAGACGCCATCTGAAAACAAACAAAAAAAAGCAAATGGCAAATCCTGTTTGGGACTCCTAGTGGTTTAACTGGCCACATCAGAATCATGTGACATCTTGGGGCTCAGCCTGTCCTGCAGTAAGGCCTAAGAAGCTGTTTTTTAACAAGCCTCCAGGGATTCCAGTGCATAGCCAGGTTTGTAAAGACTGTTATACTGCCTCTCAGTAAAAGAACATGGTTGTTCATATATTATGGTTCTTTTCTATATTATGATTAATTATAAATTATATTTTAGTCTTTAAATATTTTTGCATTTAATATTATAACAAAATTGAAGCAATTTTGGTATTTTTGGTATTTAGTATTTCATTTTTGCATGTTCTCATTTGTTCAAATATGAGTTTATTTCAGGTGGCAGAGGTTGCAGTGAGCCAAGATCGTGCCACTGTACTCCACCTTAAGCGACAGAGTGAGACTCCATCAAAAAAAATTAAAATTAAAAAAGAAAGATATATATATATATGATTTTTAACTTTATGCTTTGCATTTGTAAAAACGTTTATATTTTGTATGTTGCATTTATGCAGATATAATAGCATAGAAGAGTACAATGGAGTCTTAGTAATTTGAGCCCCAAAATCTAAGTTTTTAAAAATAGTACTACCACAAGGTTAGAGTGGGGAAAATCAAAGATTCTGTTTAATGTGTTGTTCCATTCTCTATTTAGCCCACTGTAGTTAGGCTTTCTCCCTGCCATTTCACTGAAATGGTTCTTGTTAGAGTCACAAATACCTCCATTTTGCCAATCTGGTGGACAGGCCTCTGTTTTCCCTTACTTGACCTTCTAGTGGATGGCACTTGACACAGTTCGATTATGTTTTCCTTCTTGAAACACTTTTTTGACTTGGCTCTTCTTACAGCCTTCTCTTGGTTCCTATCTCCAATATGCATTTTATTATAAGAATTCTGATTTGGACATTTTTAGGTTACAGAGGTTAAGTAACTTGGCTGGGGTCAGACACCTACTAAGTATTGGCGCTGGGATTTAAATACAGGCTGTGTGGCTCCACGGCCTGTCCCTTGAACACTAAAGGGCATGTTACCTCTAAGAAGAAACAGAAATGTGTGAATTAATATTTTAGTTCATACAGATTGAATTGTTCTATAAGTGGTGCTGGGGAAACTCTGTATCCATCTGGAAGCCAACAGAGTTGGACCCCGGTTTGCTGGTTGTTTCTCTCTCGTGATTTAAAGATTTAAAACAGTACAAATCAAAAGGAAATCTAAGAGATGACAGTTAACAATCTAGGGGTAGGGTAAGCCACCCTACAGCAACAAGATACTAAAAACCTGTTAAAAAAAAGAAAGACAACCTTTTTTAACTTAATATATAAAAGTTAAAACACTTCTGTATACCAAAATATACTATAAAGTCTGTAAATGTTTGACTCTCTGTAATATCAAGGAGTACTTAAACATCGACACATTGGAAAAATGGGTAGAGTCTAAAACATTAACAATTCATAGAAGAACTCAATGACCACTAATCATAAGGAAAGATACTTAAATATGTTTTTTTCCGAGTCCAGAGGTTAAATGTCATTTCTTCTAAGAAGACTTTCCTGTTCACTCAATCTGGAATAGCTGGCTTCTGTTATTCTCCTTTGCAATACCCTCTGCTCTCTTTCATGGCACTTAAACAATTTGTAATTATATACTCATGTATTTATTTAATGTCTGTCTCTATGGCTAGTCCAAAGGAAAGGAACGTATCTTTTTTTAATTCAGCCATGTATTCCCAATGCCTAGCACAGAACCTGGCACATTGTAGGTATTCATTCACTATTTCTTGAATCAAAAAGAAAAGATGCTAAAAATAGTAATCAGGGAAATGCAAATTAAAATAGTATTGAGGGCCAGGCGCCGTGGCTCACGCCTGTAATCCCAGCACTTTGGGAGGCCGATGTGGGTGGATCATCTGAGGTCAGGAGTTCGAGACCAGCCTGGCCAACATGATGAAACCCCATCTCTACTAAAAATACAAAAACTTAGCTGGGCTTGGTGACGGACGCCTGTAATCCCAGCTACTCGGGAGACTGAGGCAGGAGCATTGCTTGAACCCTGGAGGCAGAGGTTGCAGTGAGCCAAGATCGTGCCATTGCACTCCAGCCTGGGCAACAAGAGCACGACTCCGTCTCAAAAAAAAAAATTAAAAAATTAAAAATAAAATAGTAGTGAGTTATCACGACACCTGATACACTAGCAAAAATGTAAAAGGAACAGTTGTATCTGTCACTAACTGTACTATAGGGAAAGGGTCTTATATACTACTGATGGAAATATATTCATTGCTTCAGGCTTTTTGGAAAGTAATAGTAGATGTACCCTTTGATCTAAGAGGGCCACTCCTGGGAATCTATCTTATAGGAATAAAAGCACCAATATTGTACGTGTATACAGGTGTCCCTTAGTGTGTACGGTAGATTGGCTCTAGGACCCCCAAGTATGCTAAAATTAATGCATACTCAAGTCCCAAAGTTAGCCCTGCAGAACTCGCATACATGAAAAATCAGTCTTCCATATACTCGGGTCTCACATCCGGTGAATATTGTATTTTCAATCCTTATTTGGTTAAAAATAAATTCTTGTATATGCGAACCCACACAATTCAAACCTATCTCGTTCAAGGATCAGCTCTATATTCAATATATATTCAAGAGTGTTTATATCTTATAACATTGTTTTTGTTCATACATAAACTGGAAAGAGCAAATGGCTATTATCCATTGGCAGAGGAGCTGGATAATCTGTCCTGTCTCTCTACCTGAACTCCTACCTAGCCATTAAAGAGAAAGATTTGAGCTCCACAGTGACTTGAAAAGATTTCTATGAGGTATTTTAAGTGAGAAGAGTAAGATTATATTATTCTATATATTTACTATGTGATTCTTTATAATATTATACATTTGCACTGTCTCTTCTACAGCTGAATCACAGTTCAATTTAAATCTGATCAAAATGTGAATATATTTTAAATTGTCAAATGTTGCCATTTAACACGTTTTTGCTTTTCAGGCAACATTTGAGAGAGGGCTAGAACTACATGCTAAAGTCACAATTTTTGCAGAAGGTTGCCACGGACATCTAGCCAAGCAACTATATAAGAAGTTTGATTTGAGAGCCAATTGTGAACCTCAGACCTATGGGATTGGACTGAAGGAGGTATCCGGGTTTGTTTCTGTAATTTTAATTTCGAAAGATGGAATTTAAATTTATTTGTATTATCAGGTAGTTTATAATACTGACTTGACTTTAGTTATATTTTTTCATTGTCTTGAAATGTTCATTATGACTAAAACTTGGGATATTTTTCAAGGGGCTAGAAGATAACTACTGATCAAATTCTATTATTGGTTAAGTTAGTTTTACATGTTGGAATTGTTGTATCAAGTGCTGCTTGAAATGAATCTTGAACTTGTGAATATTTGAATCTTTTTTTTTTTTTTCATTGTAATGCCATCTGCCCTGTTAGGATTGCTCTTGTTATCCATATGCTGTTTGTAGGATGACCACATCCTACAAAGCATTATTTTTTCAAAATGGTAATGCGAAGATAATTTTGTTTGTGAAATACACACTCAGCCATAGTATATTAATCTGCAGCCTAAAATTTAATTAGGTTATGTATTTTACATTTTCTCAATTTATCCATTCTCTAGTCTTGTTTTCCCAAATCCTAGGCTTATTAGAATGTAAATGTAAAATTTTCATTATAACCCTTTTGCTTAAATATTGTGGAGCTAGCAATGGTGGCCCACACCCATAACCCAAGCATTTTGAGAGGCCAAGGCAAGATGATTGCTTGGGTCCAGGAGTTCAAGACCTGCCTGGGCAACGTAGTGATACCTCATCTCTACTAAAAATTTACAAATTAGCCAGGTGTGGTGGTGCACATCTGTAGTCTCAGCTACTCTGGAGGCTGAGGCAGGAGAACTACTTCACTTCAAGAGATCAAGACTGCAGTGACCTGTGATCATACCACTGCACCCTAACCTGGGTGACAGAGTGAGATCCCATCTCTAAAAAATTAAAAAATACAGTAATTAACAACAAAAAATTTATTTTAGGTTAAATCTCAGAAAGGTTCAAAGTCTATATAAAACTAGATTCGTTATATTCTGAATAAGGGTTTGTTTTGATAGATTGCACATAATGTCTGATTGCACACAATATTATCTGATTTTTAGATAATATTTCAGATAGAAATTGTTCAATCTAAAATTTACCAGTATGAAAAGAGAGTGAACAATGTTGATTTCAATTGTGAGGGCCAGGGCAGAGGGAGATAAATTACTTTGGTTGAGAATACATGTCTATTACAAGAGACCTTACAAGTGTAGCATTAATTTTTACCATTGGTGAACCATACCCTTGTGGCGTCACCCAGATGAGAGAAGAGACACTACCGAGTGAGCAGAATTTCCCTCAGCTTGTCAGTAGGATTGCCTGATTTCCCTAATTAGACTTTGGTATAAAAGTCTTTACCAATTTGAATCTATTTAAATGTCTTTAAGAGTTCATCAAAGTTTTTCTGACCTGTTTCTTTACTCTGAACCTCATGCTGCCAGTTTGTATAATTTTCTTTTGATATTCAAGGTGATCCACCTGCCTTTTAGTTTTTAATTTTATGTTAATTTATTTATTTATCTTTGATTTATTTTGAAGGCTGAATGAGATTGAGCGTCATGCTCCTAAATCCAGGGAACCCAGGCTGGTGCGTGGAAATGATCCAAACGGCTACCGCGGCGACCTCTGGCGTCCCGGGTTCAAGAATTTCCTCATTGCCTCAGCCTCTGGAGTAGCTGGGATTCACAAGGCATCCGCCACCATAGGCCCAGCTAATTTTGACATTTTTAGGTAGAAGATGGGGTTTTACCCCATGTGGCCAGGGTGGTCCGCTCCTGACACACTCAAGTATCTGCCCACCTCAGCTCCCATGAATGCCTAGGATTACAGCTGAGCCTACTGTGTCCCAGCCTTCTTTGATATTTGAAGTAATTTTGTTGTATAGCTATATTACAGTTTTTTCAACTTGTGAATGTTTACCCCCAGCATAAATACAGACATTAAACTGAAGTTTTTGCACGTGTGGTGACATAAAAACATTGTTTACAAATACTAAGGACTTTATTTTTTGTTTGTTTGTTTTAGTTATGGGTTATTGATAGAAAGAACTGGAAACCTGGGGAAGAGTAGATCACACAGTTGTTGGCCCTTGGACGGACATCACTATGGATGGATCTTTTCCTCTTAATCCATATTGGCAATAGAAGGTGAACCCTAGTAGCTAACTTGGTGCTTGTGGTAAGTTATATGTCCCCTTATAGAAAATTTCTAACTGCTAGGGTTATATTACCCATCAGCTTATAAATAAGGGTTTTGATCCTGAGACTGTAAAATGGCTTTCATTTAAAGCGTACTTTCTAATTTTTTGCAATATGTAAAGTGCTTCTGGCTGCTGTGTCATTAAGTCTACTAAACACACGTAGCAATAGTAATAGTAGCTGCTACACTCCAGGCACTATGCTGGATGCTTTTCTGAGATTTCTACATAAGTTTCATAATAACACTGAAATAGGAATATCTTTATTTTACAGATGAGAAAACTGAAGTCCAAATAAGTTAAACAACTTACCCATATACACCCATTAAATAACAGGCAGAAATGCCTGACCTTGTCTGACCTCAAATTCCATTTCCACTGTGGCATGCTACCACTGACAATGAAATTAGCACTAAGTTTGAACTTAAAACTTTTTAAAAATACAAGCAGTTTCTCCTTTTTTGGCCTCCTGCACATCGTTGCAGTAAATTACATATTGAACATTACCAAGAATGGAAAAATTAGTTTCTGTACCTTGCAACTGGTGGCAGCTTTATAGTTTAGTGTCATGATTAGACCTCCATATGATACACTGTTAAATTTATATGTTATTGGTGTTTTTTGACCCCCCAGTCAAATGTTTATCCCGTCACCTTTGGATATTTATGCCTGACTTAATTGTATCAAAGGAAAAAGATGTGGTCAATTTTAACACTTTGGTAAAGCTTTATAAAATGTAACCTTCTATATTTATTTTCCTCTTTTTCTCTAAGTGTAGTTTACATCCTTTTTCTTTATTTTTGCCTCAGTTGTACTATAGTATAGATTATTAGTTTATTTCAAGTTGGTATTAATGTATAATAAATCATTACAGCTGCTTTCATAGAAACATAATCTGAGATGCTTACCTACAGATAATGTTCTAATTTGTTTTTTTTGTTGTTGTTCATTTTTATTTTCTAATCTCATGATGTATTCTGTTTTTCTAATTTGGACTTTGAGTTCCAGAGCACAAGAATTTGTTAATATGTTCTAAATTTTCATAATTTTGATGATAATAAACACATGCTATCCTTTTTTTTACCGTTTCTTTTCCAAACAGATTTTATACAATTTTTAATTTACATTTGCATTACTGCACATAGTACTCCAAATACTTTTGAGTACAAGAAATTTAACATACATGTTTTCTGATAAACATTGCTCACATTTTCACTTGATTTAATTTGAAATAAAAATGCCTAAATTAATATAAGTGTAAAATTTTAAGGTTGGTCTAGACTATCAGAATCCATACCTGAGTCCATTTAGAGAATTCCAGAGGTGGAAACACCATCCTAGCATTCGGCCAACCTTGGAAGGTGGAAAAAGGATTGCATACGGAGCCAGAGCTCTCAATGAAGGTGGCTTTCAGGTAACTCTTCCAACTTCTATTTTCCTTATTTCTGTATTGTAAATTCAGAATTGAACATATAATGTAACAAATTTAGATAAAGAATAAAAACAATATCAAAATAAGTAAAGTATGTAGCGTTTATAAATAAACTGTATCACACAGTACTTCAAAATTACGCCATGAATTTAGTTTTAAGTATATATCAGGCTGGGCACAGTGGCTCATGCTTGTAATCCCAGCACTTTGGAAGGCCGAGTTGGGCAGGCTGCCTGGGCAACATGGTGAAACCCCGTCTCTACAAAAAATAGAAAGATTAGCCAGGCGTGGTGATGAGCGCCTGTGGTCCCAGCTACTCAGGAGGCTGAGACAGGAGAATCACTTGAGCCTGGGAGGTGGAGGTTGCAGTGAGCCAAGATTGTGCCATCCAGCCTGAGCAGCAGAATGAGACTCCATCTCAAAAACAAAAACAAAAAATAATATATTGATCTCTAGAGATAAATTCATGGACATTTTGTTTGTTAGTTGTTTTAACCATAAATTTAAAACTGTAATCCATAATATTTCTCTTTATTCCTTAACTGCCAGGAAACTCAAAGGCAAATTTAGTTTTCAGCAAACAAAATTCATTCATTCCAACTACCTAGTAACATTCATGCCTTTTAGATTACCTCTGTTAAGCTTTTACCTTAATTGTCCTATTTTTATATACATTCAAAATCTTCTCACATATAATGTATTCATTATGTATTGAACAGTGAAATAAGACCTAGTAGCTAATTGTCATAAAAGCTGTTAATACTGTTGTAGAAATGTTATCAGACAGTTAAGATGATCTAAAAATCTGCTGTAAAGCTTGTACCAAATTATTTGGAGCAAGTTCCTTAACTTTTCTGGCCTTAAGAGATCATCTGTAAAATAAAGATGATCCCTCTGTCTCTAATATTCTAGGAATCTAGGACTATCTTGGAAATTGGATTTCTTTTTTAAAAAATTATTATAAAAGTAACAGATAATAGGAAAATTTAGGAGGAAAGATGACCTTTTCTCTTTTGTTCTGAAGCGGAGTCTTGCTCTATCGCCCATCCAGGCAGGATGGCAGTGCGCCCACGAATGATCTCGACTCACTGCAACCTCCGCGCTCCTGGGTTCACCCATCTCCCTCCCCCTCTCAGCCTCCTCGAGTAGCCTGGGACCCACACGGTGCCCCACCACCATGCCTGGCTCATTTTTTGTATTTTTAGTAAAGAGCGGCGGTTTCACCGGTTGTCTACGCGCTCAGCGATGGCCTCGCAGCTCCATGACCCTCTGATCCGCCCGCGCCTCGGCCTCCTCAAAGTGGTGGGATGCGGACAGTGTCGAAGCCGCACCCCCGCGCGCTCCAGGCCTTTAACTCTAATTTTAAAAGTTGCGAGCCCGCTTCCGTAAACTACTTATTACTGTAATAGTACTTTCACTGAAAACCTCAAAACCCATAGCTTACATTCCACGAAACATACTCACCTAGACATCTAAATCCGATTCCTGTCCCGCAAATCTTGTCACTCGAGATTCACTTCTCATGAGATTGTTTTTGTGTTCTAGGGGTACAATTCGCTCTTGGTAGACAATATGTATCTGAATATACCATAAGCTCTGTATTACAAGCCTAATTAAACTTTTAAAATAATACCGGTCCATAATTAGTCATCTGTCACCCTAACCCTATCTGTACATTTATAAACGGTTTCAGTATATATCCAATAGTTACCAACACAGATTTTTATTGAAAAGCCATTCGTTACCTTGTGTACCTTAAGACATGGTCAAAACCACATGTCAAATGATTTGCAACATTTGACATGGAAGGGATGACTTCTTTCCCCCGCACAACACACACCCCACACACTTTTGCACCTGAATCTTTCTGATTCATCCCTGGCGCCAGCAGATTCCAGAAAGTTATTTCCAGTTAAGGTCTTGAAGACCTTAAGAGGCAACAACGACTATAAGGGATGGTTTCTGTATTTCAATACTAGAGAAGTTTCTCTGAAGGTGTAGCAAGCACCAGAAACCACCAGGAGAGTGCAGTATTCCCTCCCAAGCGTGATGCCGCCCGCTCTCCATGTTGCTTTGCTCAGCTGCCATTCGGCATTGATGATTGTTTTTCCCTTCCTTAGGGAGAGTGGGAGGGAAAGGATGCAGTCTGAGTGGCTCCCATTTAGGTAAAGAAAAAGAAGAGACAACAATTCAAAACGTTCAGTTTTGTTTATTTTGAGCTAACAAATACCGTCTAGCTTTTTTCTCCTTCTTCAGCTGACTATACCAAAACTCACCTTCCCCTAGTGGGTTTCTAATTACTTGTAGCCCTAGTTTAATGAATGTCCCAAACAAGGTGCATAGCTGCCAGTAACCCAGCCCACCCAAGGTAGGATCCTCCTAGAACTTAAAAACATACTTTTTCCTTGGGCATAATATTTTTATTCTTAGGATTTAAACACCTATTTTGGACGAACTTGAACTCATAGTTTATATCCTTTTATTAAATTTCACATTCTTCTGGTTCTTGAATCAAACTTGGTGTCAACAAAGCCACAGCCTTATTTGAGAAAAGCATTGTCATCATCTAAGTCCCTAATCTTTATCTGTTTTCAGCTAGTAGCACTCCAGATACCACCTCCTCCCCATTGTCTGCTCTGTGGTCCTGATTTAATGCTCTTTTATCTAAGTGGTCCTAATAACTGAGTTTGGTCTGAGAATCACAGTCATAAATTCATTCCCCACATATACTGTGAAAGGACCTGATCCTTCTCTCTTACCAGCATTCCTTCTGCCCCCTAGTTTTGCTTTTCACTACCATTCCCTCATTGATGAGAGTTGTGGCGACAGAGTGCTCACCATGTCTCTTTTGCAGTTGATGTCAATAGTTTTGTTAACCCCCACCTCTGAGTCCCTCTTAATACCATCAGCCAAATGTACCACTCACCATTTTCTCAACAAAGACCCCATGGCTTACTTTAAGAAGTCCTCAAAGAAGGAAAAAATACAGAATGTGGAAAGAACAGCACTGCTTGGCTCTCTTTAAACTATAAGAGTACATTTTCTCATGCAAACCATCTATAGTTCAGTTGCTATATTGTGGGGTACATATAGACATTTATTGTCTAAACTGAAAAATATCCAACTCTTTATTACTTTTTTTTTTATCAGAAATGTATACTAAGGTCCAAAGAATTGTCTTTATTTAATTTTGGAAATTCAGCTTGTCCTTAATCAGAATCTATTGTTTAGGGTGGTAGCTAGTTGCAGTGGTGCCATGAATAGAGCATAGGTTTATATCCCTAGCTGTCAAAGTAAAACAAAGAGGGTGTATAGTATCCTTTGTAAGTCTTGTATTACCCCGAATGCATGTAAAAGCAAATCACAGTTTTTTTATATGCTCTTTGAAATTTTCAGGTCCACTTAATTTTGGGGGAAGAGAAGGTACAATGTGATATTTCCATATATGTATATACTGTTTAATGATCAAATCAGAGTAATTAGTATATCCATCACCTCAAACCTTTATCATTTCTTTGTGTTGGTAATATTTAAAATCTTTTCTTCTAGCTATTTGAAAAAATAATAAATTATTCTTTATTATAGTCACTCTACAGTGCTATAGAACAGAACTTATTCCTCCTATCTAGCTGTATTTCTGAATCCATTAACCAATCTCTCTGTATCCCACCCCCACTCCCAGCATCCCTTTCTACCCTTCCCATCCTCTAGTAGCCACTGTTCTACTCTCCACTTCCGTAAGATCAACTTTTTAAGTTTCCATATATGAGTGAGAGCATAGGATGTTTATCTTTCTGTGCTTGACTGACTTAACATAATGTCTTCCAGGCTCATCCATGTTGTCACAGATGACAATATTTCATTCCTTCTTCCAGCTGAATAGTATTCCATTGTGTATATATATATACCATCTTTTGTTGATCCATTCATCTGTTGATGGACATTTAGTTTGATTCCGTATCTTGGCAGTTATTGTCAATAGTGCTGCAATAAATATGAGAGTGCAGATATCTCTTCCACATACTGACTTGCTTTCTTTTGGATATATACCCAATAGTGGGATTGCTGGGTCATATGGTAGTTCTATTTGTAGCTTTTTTAGGAATCTCTATACTGTTCTCCATAATGGTTGTACTAATTGACATTCCCACCAACAATGTGTGAGTTTTCCCCACATCCTCACCAGAATATTTTTTGTCTTTTTGATAATAGCCATTCTAACTAGGGTGAAATGATATCTCATTGTGGTTTTGATTTGCAAGCAAATCACAATTTAGATAACAGCATTCAGGTTTAGAGAATATTTTAACTATGACATGGATATCTATAAATAAAACATTCTATTTAAAACATATTGATGCTTCAGTCCTAAGTCTGTCCCATGTAGATTAGTTATGAGGAGGAAAAAAGAAAAACTCTCACAGAAAAATAGTAATAGTCCTAATGCTCACTCTTAGGGCAGGAAGAAGAAAACTGCCCTTGCACCTGGCCAGCCACCACCCCAGCTAATTTTTTTCTATTTTAGTAGA